TTGGTTCATTCAAAACCATATGGTAAATAGGCTCCTCCCTCAACTGCAAACTTATGTGGTCCCGACAATAATATACTTAATTAATTTATTCTGCAAGTGGCCAATGTGACTTTTCCAATTAACTTTTTCATCTACAACCAATCCCAAATACTTTATTTCTTGAACTTGTTCGATATCTAAACATCTACAAACACTATTAGTAATGATACATTTCATATCATGATATTTCATCGAGCTAGGAAAACTTATATGCCTTGTAAGATTAAATAATATGTATTTAGTTTTAGAACTCATTATCATAAAATTATTGGTAAACCACCACCTCAGAGTGTCTAAATCATATTGCATATCAATTTTAAGTAAATCAATTGAGTCAGCCTTGTAAAACAAAGCTGTATCATCGGCAAATGCTATCAATTTCCCTCTGAAACGACCGTTACACAAACTATTTACATATATTAAAAACAATGGTCCAGAGAGAACTGAACCTTGGGGGATTCCATATTTGATAGAACCTCGCTCACTTGTTACTTCACCTATCCTAGTTTGTTGAGTCCTGCCACTTAGGTATGAGGCAAACCACGACAGTGGTACCCCTCTAACTCCAGCTTCTTGCATTCTGACCAGCAAAATCTCGTGGTCAACGGTATCAAAGGCCTTCATAACATCGACAAAAATACCAGCACATTGCTTGCCTTCATTTATTCCACAATATATTTGATATACTAGCAGAGTAACCGTCCTTTGTACGGGGTTGGCGTATCCATATATAAGTCCCAAAGTAGCTATGAACTTTTGAGAAAACTACAAGTCACACCCCCATAAACCATATACTTCAAATGCTCGTCATGACGAGAAACTGCGCAAAACCATCCATTATTTCAATAAATTGCCCTTTGAGGTTGTAATTTCTTTCTAAAGGGAACTTTACATATACCTAATGTTAAAAATACATCAGCTGTACTTATTTGTATGTTATTTTTTCAATTTATTACCTTATTAAAATCAGGTGTGATTATTTGTTTGTATTACTGTATTCTGTTTTATTTATTTCAGATTAACTTAACCAATCAATAGTTTTTAAAATTCATAATGACGCTGGTTCATCAACTTTGTAATATAACAATCAATAGTATTAATACTTATGAAGTCAAACGGGGTGAAGCCCGTGTGTAACAGCTAGTAAGTATAACATTATTATTGCAGTTATACTTGTGATCGTTTGCAATGGGGGAGGACACGGTTTGAGAAAATTTTGTTCTTTTAATTTACGGTATGCTATATATAGTATAACACACTATAACACGTCTACCATAGCATAAGATAGGTACAGCCACTCGGGTAGCTATGAGTGCAGAAACGATAATTTTATAACTACTTCATAGTCACCATTGTAGATTATGTTTTATTAGAGAGAGTAGGTAAAAACTTTTATGTTTTTATTTTTTGAAAATTTCCCTTACTGACTAGGTTTAGTCGGCAAGGACCCCGATTTTAGGTTGTCGATTAAGTTAACATTGACACTAAAGTCAATTCAAATATATATAATAAAACAACTTATAAAGGAAAACACAAATTGCCAACTAGCAATATGTTTACATGTGGAATCTCTATCTAAATATTGAGCTAGATTATCATTTTTACTATTAACGCTTGAAAACTAGTAGTTTACTTGATATCAGCCCTGGGTTCTTGAAGCCACTGAAAAAATAACAAGTTAATAGTTTTTACCGTATAACTACATATTAATATTGTGTCTTTCGAAAATTAGATATAACTGAACAAAACTGTTGCTGTTTGACAGGATACAAACACAATGCAAATAATAATATTGAATAATAATTTGAAACAGATACAACTGCTCTTCTAGCCATGACTGCAGACAGAAACTAACCATAACTGCAGCTAGATTTAACTACATGAGGCTATAATTGCATATCTCAACTACATAAGCAGCGTAACTGCTGCTGGGCGGACGTTAACTATGTAGTAAAACCCGTTAACACTTTGACGATCGGCGCCCCTTTAGTAGACGAAGAAGAAAGCAGAGGCTGTTAACTTGCCGATTCATCTTGAGTAACTCTTTTGGATTGTGTTTTACGATATACTTGGACTGTAAATAATCTTCTTGGAAAAATCATTTTTATTCAAATTATTTAGGCTTATTAATTTGATACAAAAATCTTTGATAATCTTTTGCAAACTTGTAATCTTTTTAGGTCTTGCATGGTCTGACGTAGCTTCCTGTAGAATCCCGTTACCTGTTATCGTGTTGTAAACTAAGTAAAGCTTATCTTGCAGGATGATTTACAAATAGAGGGCGGGACTGTGATGTTTGATCAGCTGTTGAAACACAAGAGAGTACACTTTCAAAATTTAGTCCTTGAATTTTAAATTTATTCGTCCTTGAGGTTGTCTTTGGAATTAGTACTTAATGAATCAAAACGTTGTTTCAATCGAAGGAAATTTAAAAATAATCAGAATTTTCACTGTGTACATCCGACGATAAAAAAACCATTTAATTATTAACTTATTTCTGTATACGACCTCTTCACTATCCACTGCCACTATCAGTTATAGTTTAGTGGTCCTCAACCGTAGATTATGGGCTACAAGTGGCCCCATTAATTTTAACAAACACGATACAGACCCACTCAAAGAGGCCGCATAATCTCCCCGGAATGCGGGTAAAAATAGTGACGTGTTCATCCAAAAACTCCTTCTAATCCCTGGACATGTCACGTGGTAACGCTCTCAATGTTCAGAGTTCAGGACGTAGACTGGAATATGCGATCAATCTTTGCCAATAAGTCTCACCGTAATATAAACACGAGGAAAAAGCTATTAGTGTTATCAATCCATTGTTTTAAACAGCAGTAATAAGATGTATATTAGGATAGTTCTGTGTCTTTGGAGGTGGAGCGCCACCAATAAGAACTCAGCTTATGCAGTGTATGTATGCTGTAGAGCCAAGAGTCATAATGGCGCCCATCGACGGTGGCGCCGGGTGGCGCCTGGGGGCCCTGGCTGCCCTGGAGGCGGAGCGCCACCGACTAGACCTCAGATCATGCGTTGTTTTTATGTTGTAGAGCCAAGAGTAGGATGGCGTTCCACAAGATATGGAGGACGCTGATGGTGCTGAAGTACGACGTCGGTGGTGCCGGGTGGCCCTGGCTGCCCTGGAGGTGGAGCGCCACCAACTAGACCTCAGATCATGCGTTGTTTTTATGTTGTAGAGCCAAGAGTCGGATGGCACCCTACAAGATATGGAAGACGCTGATGGTGCTGAAGTACGACGTCGGTGGTGCCGGGTGGCCCTGGCTGCCCTGGAGGCGGAGCGCCACCGACTAGACCTCAGATCATGCGTTGTTTTTATGTTGTAGAGCCAAGAGTCGGATGGCGTCCCACTAGATATGGAGGACGCTGATGGAGCTGAAGTACGACGTCGGTGGTGCCGGGTGGCCCTGGCTGCCCTGGAGGTGGAGCGCCACCAACCAGACCTCAGCTCATGCGTTGTTTCTATGTTGTAGAGCCAAGAGTCGGATGGCGCCCCACAAGATATGGAAGACGCTGATGGTGCTGAAGTACGACGTCGGTGGTGCCGGGTGGCCCTGGCTGCCCTGGAGGTGGAGCGCCACCAACCAGACCTCAGCTCATGCGTTGTTTTTATGTTGTAGAGCCAAGAGTCGGATGGCGTCCCACTAGATATGGAGGACGCTGATGGAGCTGAAGTACGACGTCGGTGGTGCCGGGTGGCCCTGGCTGCCCTGGAGGTGGAGCGCCACCAACTAGACCTCAGCTCATGCGTTGTTTCTATGTTGTAGAGCCAAGAGTCGGATGGCACCCTACAAGATATGGAGGACGCTGATGGAGCTGAAGTACGACGTCGGTGGCGCCGGGTGGTTCTGGCTGCCCTGGAGGTGGAGCGCCACCAACTAGACCTCAGCTCATGCGTTGTTTCTATGTTGTAGAGCCAAGAGTCGGATGGCACCCTACAAGATATGGAAGACGCTGATGGTGCTGAAGTACGACGTCGGTGGTGCCGGGTGGCCCTGGCTGCCCTGGAGGTGGAGCACCACCAACTAGACCTCAGCTCATGCGTTGTTTCTATGTTGTAGAGCCAAGAGTCGGATGGCACCCTACAAGATATGGAAGACGCTGATGGTGCTGAAGTACGACGTCGGTGGTGCCGGGTGGCCCTGGCTGCCCTGGAGGTGGAGCACCACCTACTAGATCTCAGCTCATGCGTTGTTTCTATGTTGTAGAGCCAAGAGTCGGATGGCACCCTACAAGATATGGAAGACGCTGATGGTGCTGAAGTACGACGTCGGTGGTGCCGGGTGGCCCTGGCTGCCCTGGAGGTGGAGCACCACCAACTAGACCTCAGCTCATGCGTTGTTTCTATGTTGTAGAGCCAAGAGTCGGATGGCACCCTACAAGATATGGAAGACGCTGATGGTGCTGAAGTACGACGTCGGTGGTGCCGGGTGGCCCTGGCTGCCCTGGAGGTGGAGCACCACCTACTAGATCTCAGCTCATGCGTTGTTTCTATGTTGTAGAGCCAAGAGTCGGATGGCACCCTACAAGATATGGAAGACGCTGATGGTGCTGAAGTACGACGTCGGTGGTGCCGGGTGGCCCTGGCTGCCCTGGAGGTGGAGCACCACCAACTAGACCTCAGCTCATGCGTTGTTTCTATGTTGTAGAGCCAAGAGTCGGATGGCACCCTACAAGATATGGAAGACGCTGATGGTGCTGAAGTACGACGTCGGTGGTGCCGGGTGGCCCTGGCTGCCCTGGAGGTGGAGCGCCACCTACTAGATCTCAGCTCATGCGTTGTTTCTATGTTGTAGAGCCAAGAGTCGGATGGCACCCTACAAGATATGGAAGACGCTGATGGAGCTGAAGTACGACGTCGGTGGTGCCGGGTGGCCCTGGCTGCCCTGGAGGTGGAGCGCCACCAACTAGACCTCAGCTCATGCGTTGTTTCTATGTTGTAGAGCCAAGAGTCGGATGGCGTCCCACAAGATATGGAGGACGCTGATGGTGCTGAAGTACGACGTCGGTGGCGCCGGGTGGCTCTGGCTGCCCTGGAGGTGGAGCGCCACCAACAAGACCTCAGTGAATGGGAACCTGAACTTTGTGTTCAAATGTTGATGATCCCGGCAGCCAAGAATTACGTTGCGATCAGCAAACGACTGAAGAAAGCATCTATGTAAGTGTCTTTACGTTGTAACTTTTTGAAAGTATCTTGGTCATTATTAATGTTTTTGGTTCAACGCTGTAGTTTTTTAGTTGAATGTATAATAGATGTAGGTACATATTGGACATGTGAACATTTTTGGTTCAACTATTTTAGAAGGGTCATGTTGATAGCATACGGCTACCGGTTCTGTTGTATCTACTTTAGTTATTTCTATAAACTCTTTTACCGATTAATTGTTACCGATTAAGCCGTAGAATCGGCGTAGCTAGATTTAATCAACAAATTCCCACTTTTTGTACTGTTACAAACAAGTCCAACTCTCACGGCCCCAATTCCAGTTATTGAGTGTCGTAATGGGAGTTTCATTAGCTTGTCGTGTGATTTATGGGGTTTCACTACTCATATGTTCCAATTATGTCCAATGGTTCTTTAATTGAACCGTTAATTCGTCTAATTTTAACTCATAACGTCTCTTTGTTTGCTCAAAATTATGGCGGCGTCAGTAGAATTAACGGATGACATCCGCAGACGCATCGGTTGCGCTTGACAAAGTCAAATGTACAAGTTTCAAGACCGAACGGTGTTTAAGAAGTTTTAAAACTTCATGATAACTTTCAGCCGAACTTTCCTTAGATCTTAGTAATAGGTGATTTCTACCTTTTGGCAGCTTTCAAATGTGACTACTACTGTACTTCATTGATGATTTAACAGGTAATTGAATGATTTGTTCCAACACAGGCTAAATTTGGATGATGCATTTCTTGGAATCATCAAGAAATCCAAATTATAATACAGAAGTAACAACGGAAATTTTTTCGGTCAATTTATTAGTTTCTTTAGTAGACCTACTTGTTGTGAGAAGATGATGTTGTAAAAGGCAAATGGCCTATCTAGTTCGTCCTTTGGTAAAGTTTCTGTTGTAGCACTCCACTATTTTCAAACTATTGTGTGTGTACTGTATGGCTATCCAAGCGTAACTTCTGTGCGAGACGGGCGGATTAAGTCCTCGGCATATCCACAAAGTTTTAGGGGCTTGAACCGATTTTCCGTAAAGCGTGTGAATTTCTTTCATGCAAAATGCTCATTCGAGTAGAAAATACACAGTTGTTCACGAACGAAAATTGCAGCCAAATCTTGTTCTGCTAATTTACATTTCAAGAGTCATACACCCAATTGTTGTTTATAGCGCAGCCTATATACAGGGTGTGTTTTTTTTTAACGCAACTCAAATTACAAGTATTGTGAGACACTATTTATCGACAAAATAAGTTTATATATTAGTATCACTGTTTTCATTACTTCATTACTGGTCAGCTGATATACATTGTTGCATCTTTGAGGTGTAGTATTGTTAGTAATTCATAGTAAATAAGACTCAACAGGGTTTTCCCAAGCTCTAAGAGTTAGAATAGTAGGTTAATAGTAAATAAATTGGTCTTATGCCAAGAAAGGTTTGAAAACAATTTTCCAGGTGTGATTCCAGTACCTAATAAATGGACTATTGACATGTACAAATTTAAGGAAACTGGATCCGTCCATTGTAAAAAATTAAGACGCAAAATACATACTCTATTTGAGCTTGTGAAAATACCATGTTGAGCCTTATTTACAATAAATTCCTAAAACACTAAACTTTCTAGACAACTAAGCAACCATGTATATCTGCTGATCAAAAATTAAGTTAACAAATCACGGATACCAACATAAGCTTGTTTTGTCGTTAAACAGTGTTTTACCGTACTTGTAGTATTTGGGTTGCGTTATAAAACTCCCTGTATAATGAACCATTGGCTATGAACACGAAGACATTTCAATATTAACTTTGTGGTATATATTGATCTAGCAGAGTACCCGTCCTTCTTAACTTGTCACAAACATCCATCCATCCAAAGTTTCTCACTTATAAAGTAGGACTAGTATGATTACATTACAACACTTAATCTATACGTTCCATTTCCTCATAGTCTGTACAATAGTGACAATCGATGTTGAGCAGCCAAGCGGTGCTTAGCAACTTGTAAACATGTCGACATTGTTGACAATGTACTTGCTATGTGAACCTTTCCATGTTACTCCAGCTAACTACTTGTTACTCTTCTGCATCTACTGCTTGTGTGTTCTCATTGTATTGTAAGTGAATTTAAGTTCCAACATAATCGTACTGTTTAGATGATTTAGTTGTAATGGATATGCACGTACAGTACTTGGTTGATTATAGGTTAAGGTTACTCAGAATGCCGGTTTACACTTGTATTTCATCTTTATGTGTTAAAATTTATGTGTATACGAATGAAAAGAAGACTAAGGGGCGACTAAAGGAGGGGGGGGGGTTGTTTTTAGTGAGTTTAATAGCTTTAATTAGTTTTATATGGCAACTGACAAAGTTGAAAAACTGGATTTTACAGTCGTTTAATGTTGTCTTTGCACACTCAAGAACACGTAAAATGTACGTACTTTTTGCCATGGACTTTTACAACATAGCTCCCCACAATTTCAATAAGGATTAATATGGTTGCCAGTTGTCATACAAAAAATTCACACTCGAAATATCTTAAAATGTAAGACTTTAGTTAGTATCTTTACCTCACAACATTATAAGTAACAAACTACTTTGTTGGTATCAAGTAGGAGTGAGCAATATACTCGTATTTTGTCAATGTAGCCCTAATTACGTAGATTTATGTGAATAATACCAAATAGTCAATGATAATACAAAGAGCAATAGTTTTAAGCTGCAAACTAATCATTGATCCAGCATGAATATTAACCTGATAAATTGCTCATGGTCTTATTATATAGCATATTATCAGATTATATGTAATCATATCGTTTCGTATTCATCGACACATGTTCTTCCAATACCAAATCATACTCATTACAACACCCACATATCCTCATTATCTCTTAAATCATTCTAGTTGCAATTAGCAACACAGCACAACTATACTTAAACCAACTATCTGCCAACTAGATCCCGGTAATGAGCTACAAGCTGGAAGCTGTGGATGAATGTGGAAGGAAGGAAGTGTAATCTCCTATCTACCATCACCTACAGCCGTTGGCTTTTATTGTGCATACTCGGGGCGCATCTGCAGTCTGCATATTATGCAAGTATAGCTCAGCCGTTGACTTGAAATCCTGCAAAGATACTTCACGTCCTATTGTAAAATCAGTTTGTTTTGGTGCGATTCATATCCGGTTATTAAGTTTGAGCGCGCTGATGACGAATATATGTGTGTTGTTTCTTATATGTGTAGGATTTGACTGTTTGCGCCATTTTCTTCGGATAAGACAGAGGATAAGAAAACTTGTATTCAGAGCGATTTACTTGGTTTAAATAGCGTAACAATTGTTCAATGTTAACATTTAATAAACATCCCACAGCACTTCACTATTCTAAACTGGACAAAAAAAAGTTGCTTAGAATTGCCTTCACCTGATCCATTAGGGTTATAAAGCTATATGGAACTACACTAATGTCCTACTTGGTGTACTAGGAAACTGCTTAGCTTTATTATTTGAACTTAACCGTGTACATCATTCTTTTAAGATGCATAATGTTACTTAAAGAGATAAAAATCATAAATCTTTTGTCCAAAATAATGCGGTGTGTAACCCTGTTATCATAATTAGTTCCTTACGTACAAAATATTTCTGGTTTAGTGTTAATGAATTTACGCCATTTTGTAAATCTGTGTCAACTGTGTCTGTTAGGAGTAACTTTACTACATAAGGATAGTTTTCATTAACTTTGTCATTTTCAATTGGGTCACAAGTTAAACGAGTCCATGACCCATCTAGCATTCAGGACAGTGTGAACAGATTGACCTGTTGTGCTACTTTACACAGTATCCATTTTCAGTTAACATCAGTAGTTAACAGTTACTTTAAACTTTACATCTTAGCAGTAGTCACCTTGCAGCTTCCATTTACAGTACTATAGATAATTAATTAGGGATTTACCACGGAGCTCAATATGGCCAGTATTCATAAGCATGGAGCTGGTCTAGTTGTACAGCACGAGGGTTCTACTCCCAAATTCCGGAACAAGGAATCCGGGTTCCGGGTTCAAATTCAGCCACATGACTTTATCTATGTGATATTGCCCCAAACATTTATGTCTAGCCTAAATTAATGTGTACAACGGTTCCGGAATAGAGCCTAGGATGTGTAGGTAGGACCAAAAAGTAGTCATAGGAATGCTTATATCGTCAATTAATATAACCCAGCCAGTAAAAATTCTTAAACCATTGTTAATGATTACAATTAAACCATGGCGTTTTAAGAGGGATTTTTTTTACTATTTCAGTCAGATCTTTGTTAAATTTTCTGCACTTATGTAGACTTGCTTTAAATGGAATTTGAACCACCAGATCATGTAATTATTTCACGAGAGATCATCCATAATTAGCGTGATATGAATCCGAGCTTCCAGGACAGAAATAACTTCTATTAAATTTAAGCAATGTCAAATTAAAATTGTATTTATCAACAAGCTATACCAGTAATGTTTTCTTGACTTTTCACATCTCTTCAAAGACTGTGCAACACTGGATGCGTTCACAAATGTATTCGTAGTTGGGATACAAGCGCATCGCAGTGCTAAGTGCAAGTCAGAGTAGCTTGACAATTCGTAATTGTGTACATGACAAACGACCTACGTAATGATCAACATTCGTGGTCAAGGATTCTGCAATCTTTCCTCTTAATCTGTTATAATTAACTGCCTTCATTGGTTTGTTTTTTGCGTTGATTTTAGAAAGAAATCTACTACTAAAGCTGTTTTATCTGATCCTTTTAAACGTTCTTTTAGAATTAATATGCAATGTGATACCAAGCGAGGCCATGACCATTTGGTGGAAGGGGGTGTGATGTTTAGGGCGAAGTATAGTACACACTTTAATGGGGTTAGGTTTGACATCCTTAAATGTTAGTTTACTAAAACTGTTGAAGTTTTAGTTGAGCTAAAAAGGTAATTTCGTTTTACGTGCCTAGTGTCCATTTCTCCT